ACCCCCTCCTGCGGTTCATGCCTGAGATATTTTTATCGCGAGAAGGGTACAGCAATCCCTCTTCCATCGCGACTGATGACGTCGATCAAGTTTACTAACAACGAGCTTTGCAGCGCGTCGCTTCCAACGGAGACCAGGATTTAATTAGCGAGAAAAAATTCAATTTGTCGGGACTCGAACCCATGACATGGCCCTTGGCAGGCTGCGAGGCTACCCACCAGACCACCGGAGTGACCGGACCGGCAAACACCAGGGTTTTTTCTTGATATATATTTTTTTTTTCATTCATTATCATCCCCCACCTTCCTCATAACGTCGAAGGTTGGTACTCACGAGAGCTTTTCATTTTCATTCAGCAAGTTTCGCTTTCACCCGCAAAGTTTGCAAACTTTTCACCCCCGTAGGGATTCGAACTCACGACCCTCTGCAACTAGCGGTTTACAAGGGTACCACTACAAGATATAGACCACCGGGGCGACCGTGTATATGAAATGAAGACTTAATGTAGCATGCTAGAAGCTGCACATTTGTGGCCTACGTCGATAGAGTTGATAAGCAGCCCGGTTATCTGCCACTCACTTCCTTGTTTGTGATTATTACCCAATCGAGCGAAGCGATGAGCCAAGTAAGTCATGTGTCCCCAGCCCTACCTCCCCCGTGTCAATATTACAGTAAGTAATAGCAGAGTTGTTGTTGTTGTTGTTTACTTCACATTAAACCGTATGCCAGTTGCTAAATGCCAAAATCTAGCAAAGACTCTCGGCCCGTGGTCACGAAAGTGCTGGAGCCATCTGAGGATCTAAAGAACACGCACACGTAGCAAGAAAAAGGTAAAAAGGTGTACAAGAGCCCCAACTACTACACCTATATATAATCCCTGCAGCACCGTACGCGTGCCCAAAACTGAACTACACGTCCGTCTCACCGTTCGACTACAGCAACATCACCCCCTACTTGTCCCACTCTGTACCAAAACGAATGATTGCCGACTACAGCACACTTGCTGTCTGAAGTGCTGTCTGTACAGTGACAGAGAAAATTCCACATTCATTCATTCATCGACGCCTATAAATAACAGCAGATTCCTCATCGTTTCGTCTCTACCACAGAAAGCAAGTCACGGCCAACCTTACAGCAGTAGTCTCTCACATGTTGAAGTATGTCATACGGGTCACGGACTGCTTTTTTTTTACCTTGATTTTAGAAAGCGGGGAAAATGCGGCGGAAAAGACGGGGGATCCACAGACTGTTTTTTTTCCTTTATTATAGACTGCGGGAAAAACGCGGCGATTTAGAGATGGCGTGGTGGGGCGGTGGGTCTTCGCCGGAGAGCAACACGCACATATGGCAGCGGTTATTCTCACTTAGCGCACCACAATCCAAGCCACAGCAGTGCATCGGAACGGCTTGCTGCCCTAGAAGAGGTGAGGCACGTACCGACCACCCGCCTTTGACTACTGTATGCTCAACTCGAGTGGCGTGTGAGGTTCTGTGTGCGTGCGTGGTGGTGTTGTCCAAGACGGAGGTGGTCCGATATTGCAGCAAGATGCAAACTGATACCATACATGTACTCAACGTATTTTTTCCATGCAGCAGCAAAAGGCGACTTGCTGGCAAGTAGATGTACGCAGTAGTGCCAGCCCCTTTGTAACGAATGTCGACCGCGTAGCCCGCTGTTCCCTTGTCCCAGGAATGTTCGTGCTTGACTCATCTGCTTGTGTGTCAGAAAGCTGGTTGGTGCCGTATTGCCCTAAAGGTCCAGCAAGCACCAAATTTTTTTATACAAACCTGGTGTCCCAAACGTCGAGTTGCGGCAGGCAGCAGCGCTTTGCGTTGCGAGCTGCGCCCAGCGTCGCCCAACCGTTTGTAGTGCCAGTATTCCAGGCCAATGGAGTCAGGCAGGCTGTTCAAGGGAACCTGTCTGTCTGCTCCCAAGTGGAAAGTGATTTAGGGCGAGGGAGACAGCAGCAGCAGCAGCAGCAGCAGTAGGATCGCCCACGCTGACTCTCTTGGGCCACTTCGTGATACACATCTTCGTCAGCTGCGTCATGATGACACTTCTGTTTGTTCAATTAGTCTATCGATTGCCTCCCATTTTCTTTCGGCAGACCGCGACCCATGAGACAGGTCATGCGCTGCCTTTGCTTCGACCCGAGGAATTGATCACAAACAGTAGTGCGCGCACGTTTGCTGCACGGTCACACCTGATGTGAACCACTTCCTTGTTTTTGGGCTTCCCGGCTGCTGCGGGTTTAGTGTATAGGCTTCTCATAAATACTTTCTGTAGACGCCGATCGGACTGCCACGCAAGTACGCAGAAAAACCTCATTCTGCATGATGAACCAGGGTGGCTTCCGCCGCTGTTGATCGATATGTACAATGACATGACGCAAGGCGGCTGTGTTTTTGATGCATGAAAGACGAAGTGGGGGCTTAATTTGGAGACTTGGGTCGATTCACAACGGACATGTCGAAGGGCGTTGTACTGTGCCCCCTGGTGCACTGCACACAATTTGGTACATCATACCGCTGAAAGAAGTAGGGGTCATCACTCGGTGCAGCAGTTAGATCGTCTTGGAGTTACAGAGGCGGCGGAATACATGCGGTGAATCACGAGTTTTTTTTTTTGAAATGATGCGTGGCGGCGGTAACGGCAAGACGAGACCGATGTACCGGCAATGACCCGGAGAACGATCCGCCAGCGGGTATTCTGGTCGATTTATCGGATCGAAGCAAAAGCAGAGCGTGGTGTGTGGCATGCATGTGGGTCGCTGTCTGCCGAACGATAACGGGGCATCATAATTCAACAGCACAGCAGCGTGATTTCGGGCTCTCGGATCTTGAACGCGTTTTTGCGTATTTTTTGTACAGCCCAGATTCAAGGGGAAATTGTGGGGTGTTTTCTTGCGCACAGTACGGAGAGATCGTCACTCTCCTCTTCTGTATCCATCGTCTTGGAGTCTTGGAGTTGAAGGCCGCGGGGAAAATGCGGTGAATCATGAGAAGTTCGTTGAAGTTTTTATTTCCGACTTCGGAAGCGCGCTCCAGATCTCCAGTTTCACCGCGTTTTTCCCCCAGTCCCCCTCAAGGTCTTGGAGGCGCTGATCATGTCATAATTTGATAGACAGCTCAGCGACACACATACACAGAGAGAGAGGCCGACGGACAGACCTACAGACAGAGAAGACTGTAGTACTACGACTACATCACGCAGGGTCCACCCCGACCTTGTCATGAAGGCAAGCGTAACGCGAAACATGTGGAATGTTTCTTAAGATCTTCCCAATACCGCCGCATGCCCCACACCAAGGGCAGTGGTCGCACTCACATGTAGGAAGATAGACTAAATAGACTCCCGAAAAAGAGAAAGGGGGAGAGTTATCCACAGAAGAGTCGGGCGATGGGACGAAATTAACTTGACAGCACCTGCTCCTGTGTCCATGGCCCGCACCATTCTTGAAACCGTCAACAGAGAGCACGTGAATAATCCGGCCGATATTGTTGTCGTGCATAGTTGCGTATGACGCGACACCCCCCCCCCCGCTTGCACCGATTTTCAAAGCTCGACTGCTCCTCTCAGCGGAATCAGCGATGGTGGCGAGAACGGCGGCGTCGGAACCGTCTCCTCAAGGAGCATTACCGAAGTGCGCGTCGGTTTATCTTGGCATCCTCTTCGTTGCGGCGTAACTGTGGTTTGCAAAACCGCCGTCGGGGGTGTCGTATCGCACATTCAACCTGTCGTAGGTGTGTCCACTTTCACTAGCTGTTTGTCGTCCAAACTTGAGTCGCTCAGAAGAAGTTAAGTATGTTTCGCGCCCTCGGCCTGTGCGCGATTCGTTTTTCCTCCCGTAACGTTGGTACGCTAGAGCCGCCGAAACAAGGTCTGCATCCGCAGCAACAAAAACCGGAGCACGCTTGAAACTTCGGTGCCGACGACATGGACGCCCTCGAAAACGGCGAGGCATCCGCCGCTGCCGCTCCGCCGCCGACCTCAACGGCAACACATGTGGTGAAAGACAACGAAGGCGACGGCGGGGAAGCCGTTGCAAACAGCGGCGGCGTGTCGGTCGAGAAGAAGCTTAACAAAGACGGCGGGGGGACCGACGAGGGCACGGCGGGCGGGAGCGAGGATGGGGGCGGCAAGAAGAAGGACGATAAGGAGAAGGCCAAGTCGGTGGGCACGGCCAAGCTGCTGCTGAAGTACGCCTCGCCCCTGGAGATGTTGTACATGTTCCTCGGGACCATCTCGGCCATCGTGTGTGGGTGAGTGGAAGAGAGACAGAGAGCGAGAGGGGGGGGGGAGAGACAGGGGCAAAGAGAGGGAGAAAGAGAGGGAGGAAAGAGAGAGAGAGCGGGAGAGAGAGAGAGGGGGGGGGGGGGGGGGGTACTCATAGTCGTGCATGCC